AAAAAAAATCCTGTTTCCTGCATAAACTCAAATCCCCATTTCCTCGCCTATAATTTCTCGTTAAACATTCCATGACCTCTGTGATCAGTTACAGCGGGAAAGTAATTTTCTAATGACGAACTGCAGTTTTGCATTCGTCCTCTTAAAACCCTAAATCTCTATCTTTGACAGACCACCCCGAATGAAACTCTAATCATGTTCAACATACCAAAATGGTGAAATAAAACTGAAAACCAAATTATGCAAAAAAATGAAATCGTTTGAGACGCTCTCATCTTTAATCGCGTGCACATTGAAAACTGCAACTGGCTACAAGAAAATACATTTATTATGGTACTGATGTAGGAATATAGTGGATAATAAAGTTTCTCTCTAGCTACCTGCAAAGACATTGCTCCAAACTGCAAGGCGCACCCAGGAGTGTGCACACATCCATCACTGAACGAATTTGCAAAGGTGATTGAAATTTTTGACTAGGCTTTTATTTTCGATATAGTTTCTGAAATTTATAATTTGCATAAACGCTATTAGGAGCTTAGAAAGTTTCAGAAATACTGCAAACGAAGCTGTGGATTTTGCGTGCAAACTGTGCCTTCTACAAAAATTACGATTACAACATCTACACTTGCAACTCGAAAGACAACAACTACTGCGATAACAACATCGCACCGAGCTTCACCCACCGAGTCAACACTCGCTAAAGCAGCAACGTCACCTAAAGCTAGACCCACAATGTCAGAAATTATAAGTGCCACAGAGACAACATTACTTGGAACTTCTAGTGCAGAACCGAAGACGACTGCCATGAAAACAATATCACCGGAAACTTCGACAATAGCAGAGACCATAATTGGCACAGCCATGAGCACCCTCACAGCTTCCCCTACAAAGCCAAATTCGTCACTCAAGACTGAAACAACAACCGTTGACGTTAGGCCTACGATGGTAGAGGCTATAACTGCAAAAAAATCAACATCTCTTGGACCTTCTCCTGTAGAGCCGGAAGTAACACGCATCGCAACATCAAAGACTTCTAAGGCTAAACCGTCGATGGCCGTAACTGAAGCGACAATAACAACTCTCAAAGCGGCTTCTATGAAGACGGAGTCGTCACTCAAGACTAAAACAACAACCTTTAAAGTTAAGCCCACGATGTTAGAAAGTACAACAGCAGCAACAACAACATCCCTTGGAACTTCTTCTGTAGAGTCGGAGGTAACACCCATTATAATAACATCAATAGCCGAAACTGAAGCGGCAATAACAACACACAGAGCTTCTACAGAGTTAGAGGCGTCACTCAAGACAGCAGCGACGACACACAGATATACATCTGTGATGCAAAAGACCACAACTGCCTCAGCAACAACGTCGCTTGGAAAATCTTCTGACCCACAGACAAAGCCAGCAAGGACACCTGAAGCTCGACCGACGGTGACAGGCACTAAAACAGCAATATCACTTGAACCTTCTACTACAAAACAAAAGCCACTCACCACAGCACTATCTACGCCTGGAGGTAGGCGCACGACAGCAGAAACGGTAGCTGCCACAGTCACAGCATCACCCGGAGCTTCTGTTACAAACATAGGGATACTGTCTAACACAGCATCAATGACACCAGGAGGTAAACCCAAGACAATAGCCATCAATACAACACCTGAAGTACCAACAACAGTGGAACAGAGTCTAAATGTTACGTCAACAGCAAAACTTGGTATACCCACAGTGCCAGCAATTGCAACAACAAATAAAACATTCGCTTCAGCGTTCACAACATCAGTGATCATAGCTGATATGACGCGTGCAACACAGACACCTGCCCATACCATAGTGCCAGAAACAGAGACAATCATGACCTCAGCAACACCTGAGGCTTCCTCGTTACTTCAAACTACTTCAGCAAAAAGAATGGTGTACACTTCTTCAAGTAGGATGCCAGGAGCAACAATAGCGGCTTTCACAAATACAGACAGCAGCACCAGTGAAATCATAGCAGGAATATCAAGCACTGCATCACGGAGAACGGGTAGTGAGGCACTTACAACGGCAGGATCTTCTAGCACTGCACTACCAACCACCTCTAGTGGAACCACAGCAAGCACATCAAGCACTGCACCACCGGCAACTAGTAGCGGGGCAGTTACAACAGCAAGCACTGCACCACCGGTATTTAGTACAGGCACTTCTAGCACTGCACAGGCAACCAGCTCTAGCGGAGCCACAGCAAGCACATCAAACACTCCACCAGGGACGACAAGTAGCGAGACAACGCGAGCAGCCTCAACATCAAGCACTTCTAG